CTCTGCCTCCCGAGTGCTGGGATTAAAGGCGTGCGCCACCACCGCCCGGCGAGCTAATTTTTCTTATAACCTGGACTTTTATTAGGTGATTATATGTATACTTTTTATTTCTCAGATTTCTGCTGGTTCTTTGCCTGCCCACCTACTCTTCATTCATAGCTACTATTTTAAATTATATGTATTTTTTATGGCAAGTTCTTTCTCTATCTGTTGAAGACTGACAATACACTCATTTAAATGTCACTTAGGAATGACTTTGTCATTTGAATCTTATTAGCGATGAGTCAGCTTTCTGATTTTTAGCATGATGGCTGTCTTTCCTAATGCCAGTTTTCTGTGTGTTTTGCAGTTTAATTATGTGGGCTTTCCTTGGGTGGAACATTATTGCTTTTTCTCTCTGTGCTCATTCATTTTCTCTCTGTTGCACAGCCTCCACCTGACTCCTCTCCACCAGGATGAGGAGTGGTGTTGAGGGTGAGAACTCATGCCCTTGCTGAGGTGAGGCACGAGTCATTGTGACCACAGGCGGACAGCTCCTGAGCTTCCTGTCCCCTGGGCATCTGCCTTGCTGCAGCCCACACAGGGCTCTGGAGTTTTGAGGCTCTCCGCAGGAGGGGCCCTCCTCCATCAGTCCCTCCACAGCTTCCGTTTGGCCCCTCACACGCCCCTCCAGCACCCCTTAGCTTACTCTTGGCTGAGTTATTCTTACTTTGTTCTTGACCCATGTGGCCTTTTATATTTTCAGGTGTGTGTCCTTTAAAATACATAATATGTATCTTATCCAACTTTGCTAAATCTGACAGGAAGTCTGTTGCATGGCTTTTCTTAGGGGTGTGTGAGCAGACAGCTACTCACCTCAGATAGGGAACCTATGTCAGACCAAAATAATGATGCCAGCCAGGTCTCACTTGAAGAGCTAATAATTGGGATGTGGATGGGGGTGACTCAGGAGCAGCTGCCATCAGGAGAGCCACCCCAGCAGGGGTGATGACTCATGCAGCTGCATTGGGAACTCCCTGTAGGCAGCTCCGTGAGCCCCACAGCCTCTCTTCCCAGCATCCCCCACAGTCCTAGAACCCTGGCAGCAGTCTTGTGAATCTTGAAGGTCTCAGCTTCCCAGACATGTGAGGCTTTGTGTTACTTTCTCAGTCTCATGAGCCCCCTTCTCCCTCCAGGCAGGGTAGAATGTTTGAATTTGGAGGAATTGCTTTAAACTAAGTCACAGAGGAAATCGTTTATTAGCAGGAAATTAGTAAGATTGCATGGAGTTCAGCTGACAACAGCCACCAGGTGGTTTTGTTGTTGTTTGGTTTGTTTTTTTCTTGACATATAAGTAAACGAGTGAACAAGAAGCGTGGTGTCTTTGGCTATCATCCTCATCATCACCAAAGGCACCTCTATACCTTAGGAATAATGCGTAGTGGCCCTCCATCAAGACTTAATGTTCTTGAGCTGGAGAGATGGCTCAGTGGTTAAAAGCATTGGCTGGCTGTTCTCCCAAAGGACCAAGGCTCAGTTCCCAGCACCCACATGGCATCTCACCATCATCTGTATGTAACTCCAGCTCCAGGGCATCTGATGCCCTCTTCTGGCCTCCTTGGGCTAAACACCCGCATAGATATTTATATGATAAAATAAAAAGTAAAAAAAAAATGTTCTGCTCATTATCTCATTAACAGTTACCGTTTTTAAGAGTAATCTAGAGTCACAACACAACTGAGCCTTTTGTTTTTCATGTCCAAACACCTAATTCTAGTTATGGAATCAGCAAGAGAAAATATTTATGTTCAGGCTAAATGTCCATTGAGCAGAGACTTATTCAGACTCAGTCTCACTTTAGCCTGCTGATGTTACCTGTTGTCACAGGATTTTATTTATTAACCATTTGCAATATTTGATTAGAGCTAGAATTGGAATGGAGGGTGGGAGGAACTAGACAGGAAATATTGTCGAAATAAGTAGCAAATGCATTAGATATTATATTTTGTTGATTTAATATGTTTTCTTAAAAAATAGTTTAACTTTCTTAGTGTTTCTCAGACTTAATTTTTAATAGTCCAAAATTGTCACAATCTTTTCTTTGGGATAGGTTTGTAACTAAGTTGTTGGAAGACCTCATCTTCTTTGTGGCAGATGTGACTAACAATGGACAGGATGTTCTGGATGTGGTCATCACCAAGCCAAATCGGGAACGGCAAAAACTAATGAGGGAACAAAACATCCTGGCACAGGTCAGTGGCTTCATGAATGAAATCTGCATGTTTTATGTTTTGAGTTACAGTACCAGTGATGCCTTGCTGTGTATCAAGTGACACTCGACACTTATTTCAGTTTCTGTGAGTTTTAAATGTGGAGGTGGTGTCTGTGGGCGGTGTTTGCTCAGGGGCATTCTCAGAGGGACTGTCAAGGTGCTTGGCATGGCTGCTGTCATCTCGAGAGTGGACTGAGAGGAGATCCACTTCCTAGCTGCCTCATAGAGTTTGGTACAAGTCTGCCTCAAGACAAAGCATTTCCTCCAGTGATGTGGTGAGTGTTAGCTTCTGGTGGTGGTTAGTGTTGGCTTCCTGTGGTGGTTAGTGTTGGTTTCTGGTGATGGTTAGTGTTGGTTTCTGGTGGTGGTTAGTGTTGGTTTCTGGTGGTGGTTAGTGTTGGTTTCTGGTGGTGGTTAGTGTTGGTTTCTGGTGGTGG